AGCAACTTTCTCGGACTCCTTCTCTGCCCAATTCACGGTAGTAGTTGGTAGTTGGTTTGAGTGGTTCTGGTAGTTTTTCGGTAATTTTACATTGCATTTCACCATTTGTAATCATGGTGAGCTATTGTGTTTGTGCAGGTTGCACAAACTCCAGCCTGTCAGGACATCGAGTCCACAGTAAAAAGGACCGGAGCTAGCGTTCGTTCCTGGGTGCGTTGTGCATCCACCTCCCTGCAGCACATACTCTCCACAGCTTTATTTTAGCGTTATTTCTTCTAATCCTTGGCTGCTCCTGGTCTCTTGGACGCCGAGCAGGCTCATCATTATAAGGTTGTGGTCCATCATATGCATTCGAATATATAGATGTTCAACCTCTTCTGTGTCAAAACTAGCATTGTGAACCATGTTTATTCATACGGTAGACCGGCCGCTCTCCCTGATGTGACGTCACACGCGGGTGGTCTTTTTTTATGTGGAAGTAAAAATGTCTTACAAAAGCGACGTACAGATGTCACTGTAGTGTATATTTCTGTATATCTTTTTTGAAAATCTAATGTATACATCATTTTCCTACACATTTATTCACTGGGGTCTCTAACCTGCAAGTTGCTCTAAAAGTATTAGATGACTAATAAGATTCTGTTATTGTGGGTGACTGTCCCACACCAGTCAGATGAAGAGGCTGAGTTGGGATTAGATACAATTCAAAGTCTTAGTGAAATTCATTAGTATAATCCATTTAACGGGGAATCTCACTGTTTGTCTCCTTCCCTTCCTCTCTGTGTCTTTTCCTCCGTACAGATCATGCTCATGCAGGAGTCTGTGCGCAGGATTATTGAAACCGAGGAGTCCAAAATGGGTAAGATCAGTAATATTTAAAGGATAAGCTTATGCTGTGAATAATGTTTTTTAAGCAGGTTGTCAAACGATTTGATCCTCTCACATTGTAAACTGTTTTTAATACGTTGAAAATGTTGATTCCTGGTTCTAATTTGCTTTATTTAAAGTGTAACTCCTAAGATTTGACTTATAAACGTATAAACAAGCCTAGTCTGCTTTTAGCATAAACATCACTGCTGGTATTATTTCCCGCTATGGTTCGCACGGCAAAACTTATAAACTAAAGTAGAATAATTGCTTTTACTGGTCTTCCTGAGCAGTTCACTGAAATCTAAAGTGACTGTTGACCTGTCAAAGGCAAGACAAGTGTGTGGGCCGTTCTATTGAAGTATGACTTATTTTACACTGAATTCATCTATTTTATGGAGAGCTTTTAACACAGGGTATACATTGTTAATAAAGGAAATAGACTTTAGTGGATTTTTGTAAAGACCCTCCTGTTTCTGTTTGACTAGTGATAATTGCTTATTTTTTGTTGGCTTTTTTTAGAAAGTATAATTTTCACCTTGGGGAGTTTGGCAAGTGATAATTGTCTTATGACACCTGGCACTGTAGAGGTTGCTTTAATTTCTGTATCATCAGAGGCCCCCTAGACCGTGCCCTTGTAAAGTAACAGTTAATTGCAGGGTGTGTGTGTCTGTGTGTCGCTGTGTAATGACTGACACACAGCTCCTCTTTAATATTCACTGGGCCACACTCTATGAAATGGTTAGGGTATTTTTTATGCAGCTCGCAATTAAAATTAATTGTGCTGTCTTTTTAGTTGTATACTCACAACGATAATTGTAACAAACAAGCCTAAAAAAATGACACTGGCTTTGTTATTAAATATGTGGCTGAAATTGCTGGCATGCAATATTTAAATGAGTCAATCGGGAAAGTTGGGATTTTTGTTGGACTTTTACTTTTAGTGCATTAAAAAAGCTGTTAATGTTTCCTTATCCTATATCCTTGTATATTTTTAAATGCACTCTTTCAAAGGTCCCATATTGAGAAAAGTGAGATTTATATGTATTTTTTTGATTAAAAAGCAGGCTTCGGTGCTGCGTAAATATTGTGAAAATGTCAAAACACTCAGAGAAATGCCAAAAGCCTTTATTAAGAAACTGCTTTCAACCAACTGCGTTCAGATACCAGGTAAAAACGAAGGTGGCCGACAGGTGCAAACGCACTACAGCGGCCCAAAACACTTCCATTAGCAGAAACGCACCGCACATTCATAACTATGCAAATATAAAAATAGAAATGTGCCAAAACAAATGCAAAAAAAAAGAAAAACCTCTTTACCAACTTGACGAAACACAGGGTTTACTCAGAGTGCTGCATAAACGAAACGCTGCAAATACGAAAAAAGCTGCAAGAAGCTAAAATCACAACAAAAAGGGGACTAAAAGTGATGCACACAGCTGGGAATGGAGCGCTTGTTGACGTTAACTGCCACAAAGGCCAGCTGTCAAATTAGCATAACGCTCCCCTTTAAATGTTACCAAAACACGCTAATAAAGGACTTTAATCAACACTATCCTTGATGCTGTTGCTTCATTAAATCAGGTCTCATCATCCTCAACGCCTGGTACGGCAAGTTTGTGACGGACAACAGCCGAAAACACGAGAGGGCAAAGGTCATCGATGTGAGTGTGCCACTGCAGTGTCTGGTGAAAGACTCTAAACTCATCCTCACTGAAACCACAAAGGTAAAGATTTACAAACTCTTAAGAATGTATTCAAAACCTATTTTCTCTACAGATTCCTTCCAGCGTGATGATTCAGACTATTCATGACCTAATTGTGTCTTTGCAGTCAGGACTCCCTGGTTTCTACGACCCCTGTGTGGGGGAGGAGAAGAGCCTGAAGGTGCTGTATCAGTTCCGCGGAGTCATGCATCAAGTCCTGTCAGGAGACACGGAACCACTCAGGATACCAAAGCAATGTAAGACAGAGTGTACTCTACAGCACAGTGACTCTCCAGAATGGGGATTATGTCACGGTTGTTTGCCCCAGTCAAAGTCATATTTAACTTCTTCAGTGAAGGTTTAATGATTAAGAAGCTAGTCTTGAACTCTCTAACCGGCAACTGTTTCAATTCTTACTGTTAGACGGATTTACCCTTTTGTAGATGTTTGCGATGCAACATATTTCAAGTATTGTATTTGAACTGAGAGATCCGCTGATTTGTCTTACCTGTCACCTCCGCGCCATCAGCGTTGTGTCTGACATCTTTGTTTCTTCCTCTGTACAGCTCACAGGATTGACGCAGACACATAGGCGCTCCTCGGCCGACCAAAAAGACTCATCTCTCAGCTGTTTCACAGAAGATGGATACAACTGTTTTAGATACGACATGGATTGAAGTCCTTGTTACTCGGAAAACATGCATTTCCCTTTTTGTCTTTATATTCATTTAAATATGCAGAGCGGAGTAAAAACATCACAGACTGGAGTGATCATAATTCAGGATCTCTGGACAGGGTCGTGGCCTGCTAGAAAGTCTAATGTGACACCCCAATCAATGGCTACCATTTTAAGTCCCGGGTCTTTTAGCCTTCTTGGTATCCATTTATTTTTGGTATGGCTTGTCTTTTATGATTGAGTTCTATGTACTGTAATGTACACAAACTGCAGTGCCTATGTGGATGACGACATGAATGCACCTCTGTTTATTTGCCATATTATTAAAATAAGTCTCTCTGATGTTGCTTTACCATTTTGGAGCTTTTTTCTTTTCAATAATAGAAAAGGTTTATTTGAGTTGTTATTGTTGGTTTAACCCAGTTTAGAGAAGAGTTGCTTGTATGTCAGTGTTCTTGGGGAAATGTGTGATTTTGCAAGATAATATAATTGTTAAAAGTAATAAGGCACTATATGTCTATTGGCATGGGAAAAGTACATTTAAAAAGGTTTAGATTGGCAAGTGTATTTATTTACTTAAATGTTTAATTAATTCATGGTTCAACATCTCCCTATGATCCTTTTCTGGATCTGAGTGAATTGTTTATGCATTTTTCTTCCTTGACTTGTTTGCCAGTTTGTGTGCCATAAATAGAAAGGAGAGGATTAAGTGAAACAACTGCAAGACCTAAGATTGCTTTACCCCCTGTGGAAAATGCACCCTGCTTTTTCCAGAATCATAACGAGCGGATTATGCAAAGAGGGCTGACGTATTGTCTATTTTTTTTTCTGAAACCTCAAACAACATCTCTACAATGATTATTCTTTTGAAAGCAAATTAAGTTTGACACATTGTTCATCAGGCAAGTCTAGTTTCTTTTTCAAGGATAACTGACTGATACGGTTTGGTGATCAATTTAACTAAAAGCAGTTGTGTTTGAATACTCTATACATACAATACAGAAGGCCAATATATATAGTCACACCTGGGAGTCTTTGACACTAGCTGCCTTTTTGATTAATGACTTCATTATGTAATCATGTTATTTTTTTATCTGGATAATCCCTTTTGAGTCAGTATTGTTCTAAATCTCTGTGCTCCTGCAGCTGATTCGTAAAGGTTGTAATTATTCAATGTATCTAAGTGTTCTCCTCTTTGTTTTTGGCAGTTGTTACTTTTTATTTTACACAAATTAATCAATTACACCCTTTGTTAGATCATTACGGTTGTGTTTAACGTTTTCCAGGACAGGTGGAGTTAACTCATCTGCAGCAAAGCAGATCAAAACAAAGTCTCCAAACAAAACAGTTTGGTTATTTTTGATCGAATTGATCAGGACATGGCATTAACAGCACATGACAATGTATTATAGTAATACATAATGCAGAACTGCAGCAGTGACTCACTGTTAACAAAAAAAACACAATTGATATTAAAAGCTCTTTCTGCTACTGAAACTGACTAAATGCTAAAATAAATATATATTTGTCGACAGTGGCGGACAATTTACTAGCGGTACCGAAGTGGGCCGGTCGGATAACTCACTATTACCCCCCCCTACCGAAGTGGGCCGGTCCCAGTCCGCCCCTGTTTATCGACTTGTTTTGGAGCACGTATTCCACATCCATAACAAGCGCCCGGGTGTAAATAACGAGCGCACCCTTGATAAATCACTGGATGAAGAATGTTTGACGGGAAACAATAATGATTTATGTGGAAGTAGAGGAATAAGAGGCCCTTCCTTAAACTACTGAAAAGCAACCGTCCTGAACTTCCGACACGGAAGTTTACCGCTTGCAGACAATACTGAGACCCTTCTGTCTTTATGTTAAGCTCCTGTTTACCCTTACATGTCATTACATTATAGTTAAAGGGTAACAAACAGATTGTGGCAACGCTCTGGTCTGGCTCAGACACAAAGAGAAACCCTATGAATGAAGCTGCAGTACCGTCAATGTCCCTTTCAAAGGTAGGTGTTCATCTTTCTGCCATCAAAACAACAATCTGTTTTCCCTTGACAGCAGTCAGTGGAAGACTGCCTTAAGAGTATCTTGGAGTCCGTGGTAAACATTATCTGAGTTAATCTACTTTGTATTTATACTTTACTATTTTGTCAACTTGCATTTATTTGATAACTTAAGTTACTTTGAAGATGCATCATTCTATCACATTATCAATAATAAATATAGTATAAATTATACAATAAACGAGTACTTTCACTTTTGCTCCATTAAATATGTTGATGCTACAGTAGTTATTTTGCTCTTTTACTCAAGTAACTTTGGAAATAAGTGTTTTTTGACTATATCAGAGCATTTCTTGACTGTAGTACTTTGTCAACCCTGCTTGTAGCCTAGCTCTCAGTGAAGTAAATATCAAATAACATATATTATATGTGTAATGTGTAAAACGCACAATGAAATAGGAAGACTGTGCTAAAAGACTGATCAGCAATGATTAAATGCATGCAAAAGGCAAGCATGTGTCTGTGTGCAAAACACAGACATCCAGCATAAAGTGTGATATATTTTCTGAATCAACAAATAACCATATGATCAATGTCTTGTATTGCTTCCGTGACAGTAAACATATTTTTTATTTTACAAGGCACCTCAGTCAAAAATATATGTGTATAATAAAGTATATAAAATAACTGAAGAAGGGAGGTGAAATAGCAGGATGATAAACCACCATAGGAAAACTGAAATGTGTATGGGAAGTGTCTGGTGATACATTTAGACTTTAAAGGATGACTGTAATCAGGAGAAGGTTAAATATGGTGAAGGTGAGGTGTTTGATGTGAAGAAAATAAATGTGAAGGTATGTTTTTCCCAATCAGAGTTAGTTAGTATATAAATGATGATTTTGATGTTTTAGTTTGGTTGCTCTCTAGAGACCATCTCAGTGTATTGACTATCTTGTGTTCTATAATGTTCAAACTTACATTTAGAGAAATTGCATGTGTGATAAATGACTTAAAATGTAGTGTTTGCATCAGTATTAATCTATTTTTATCAATTTACTATCCAGAAAACATCTCTCTGCTAAGCTGATTGGTTATAGACATAACTGATTCATAATGTGTAATCAATGGGGAGCATTGTTTAAAAGCCAGTGTTGAAAAACTAACCTGGTCTGTTCTCGTCAGTTCTTCCCTATTTCTCTGGAGATCCTGGAGGAGATCTTCCTGAATCTTCCTCCTGGTGAGTTGGTTCGTGTCTGCCGGGTAGTGTGCCATCAGTGGAAAGAAGTGGTTGATGGTAAGTCCCTGTGGAAAGAGAGATGTAGAAGAGAAGGATATCACCTCAGTGATACTTCCAAAGATCCTGAAGACTGGAGGTTGTTTTGCTTCTTGTGCAAGCAGAGAAGAAATCTTCTCAAGAATCCTAGAGGAGAAGGTAAGCAGTCACATAACATACTTTAAACAACAGTCAGTTGTCCAAATACAACATGATTTCTATCACAACTCTCCTTTTTTGTTTTGACAGAGGAACTCAGCGGCTGGCTGATTTTGAATAATGATTATAGATGTTTTCGATATGGTGGTAGATTTGGTGGTTTGGATGGATTTGGTGGTAATAGATGGGCAGTGCACGGGATCAGAGAGCCTCATCCAGATGAGACAGTCCAAAAAAACTTTGTGACCTCTTACACGTGAGTATTTACAAGAAGAGATGCAGAAAACATATCGCACTCATGTTATATGCTACAATCCTATTATGTTATATTTAAAACATTTTGTATTCAGCATGGCGAAGAAGTCACAGCTGATTGATTTGGAGAAGGAAGGTTACAGCCCGTCGTTCATGGATCACTTCCAGCCAGATATCCGAATATCTGATTGGTGAGAAAAATACACGGAAACTTGTGAATGGAATAATTCCAGTTTATCACATAGTTATTGCCCTTCATTTATAACAACTATACCATTGAATGCACAAAGTTTAATGGTGAACTTGGTGCTTGTAGCAACTTTGATACAAATGAATCAGACTGATGTCTATGTGTGGTACCAGGTATGCACCAAGATGCGACTGCGGCTGTATATATGAGATCCGTGTAGAGCTTTTGAATGAAAAAAAGAGGCCTATTCAGACATTTGCTCCGGAGATTGTTGAGTTTAAGTATGGGAGTGACGAGCGATGGAATGAGGTATGAACAGAGCAAGACTCATTTAATATTATGGTTATTTTTAGAAAATGCTCTGGGACAACTCTGAACCTATTGATATTTGTTTTACAGATGGCCCATGTATTCAAGAACTACTGACCAGGAGTGAGGTACGTAATTTTCACCCACGGAGGCAGGGACACACAGTTCTGGGCAGGATGGTATGGGATTCGCCTCACCGAAAGCTGCGTTGCGATATGTCCAGCAGCGAACCAATAGCTCTTTGGGATGCATCTACTTCCTGCTTCCTGCTTTTGCTTGAAATTGCACCTCTTATTTGCCTTATATAATCTTCTGTTATGTAATGTATTACATAACAGTGTTTAACAGTGTTTCTCTCACTGCTAAACTATGAATATGTGCAGTCTTTATGAAATGTTACATTCAACAGCCACAGTTTGAGAAAATGTACAAGGACAGTAGCAGAGCACATCCCCTCATTGTTAAGAGGATCTTAATCCTCACTAAAAGTGCCTCATAGAAATATTTTTGACATTCCTCTCAACATAAGCAGTTCAACTTCATTCAATACTTTGGTTATTTACCCTTTAGTGATGTTCCCTGACCACTGTCATAAAATGGGTTTTCACAGTATAATGTGGAGTGATAATATTATGTTTTAGGTGATGTGAAGGCATCAGTTGAACAATAAAGTAGTTATTTCAGGAATAAAATGCATCTTTTGAGCATGACTGTTTAAAAAGGGAATGTCTTTGTGAATGTTAAAAGGTTCACCACTACTGTTCGGCCTTAATGGAAATGTTATTTGCACTGCTGCTTTGCACAGGCCAATAAGATGTTTCCAAAATGCACACCGGATTTTTTTCCTAGGGTCCGTTCGATTACAATCCTTTTTCTTTTGTATTGATCAGTCCGTCTGTAGGCCGTCTGCTCGGACATTTTATAAACTTTTTTTATGTTTACAAGTTTTTAGCCATGGTTGTGTACTTATTTGTCTTTATTTTTATTGTATTACTAATATGTGCTTTACTTTTTTATTATTTCATATCATAATTGATACCTATAATATTTGTACCTGCTATTCAACTTTTGCTCTAACACTGTACATTTCCCCGATGGAACTAATAAAGGATTTCTGATTCTGATTGTTTTTGTTCTTCTGCAGCTTTACTCCAGGGTTGACCCATGGGTTGACCGGGTGAAATAAACTCTTCTTCAGTGATTACCGGTGATTACACATATCCTGGAAATGTATGATTGAAAGGGGTTCGTTTTTAATGTCATCCGGCGTACACCGAAACCTACGGGTGGGCGGTGCAGAAAATAAGCAGCAAAAAAAGACGCGTTACTTGATCTGCTAGCTCCGCCTATGTATCTTACGTCCAACTCAAGTATCCTGGTATAAATACCGACCGAGCTCAGCGTCGTCAGCTGTTAGCTTTCGGGAATAAGTAATACGATGACATTTGAAGAGGTAAAACCGAAAGTGTCCTTCGCTTCCCAGGCATGCGTCGTCATTATGTTAAGTTTAGTGCTGTAGGAAACATTATAGCTGCTTCCGCCTTACTTGAAAGTCTCCTTACCTCGAGACATACTTCCGTGTTGTGAGTTATACGGGTATAAATAAATGTAGCCACGCAGCAGCTAAGGTTTTATAACGCCCAGCAGACGTATTTTCGGTAAGAAGTCGATAGCTATACATGTGGCGTTATAACTCGTAAATACATTTGCATTAGCCTAGGCATGAAGAGCAAAGCTAAAGCTATGGGTGGATCTCAAAGCTCTTCTGTGGCCTCAAGTCATGAAGACTGTCTAAGGGTTCAAGCTGCAGGATCGTCAGCTTCATTTTCACTACAGAGGGTAAGCTGTGTATTACCTACATTATCCCAGACACTTGCAGCCATTATTCATAATTCAAGGAACTGCTGATAACAACAACAACAACAACCTGCTGTTATATGGAAGCCCATTTCCGCCCGTAGGCACGTTTTTAATTGTTATTTGTATCGAAACCATAACTATAGTATCTCAAAAATAAAGGCATGCAACATAATTAACATTTTCAAGTATTTCAGAAAGATTTGCTTAATAGGTCTAGCTGAAACTCAATAAGAATGGCTTGGTATCTTAAAAACAATGATGATATATTGAGTAAGTATCTAAAAAAATGAATAAGTGTTTTGTAATAATAGAATGCTTTATCAAAAATAACTGCTTAGAGGCCTGGTAGGCCAAAGACAGGTTCTGTTTTTTATCAGGAAGTGTTTATCTTATTTGTTCTTAACTGGCAGAAATGGGCTAACATACATTAGTTCTTGCGATATGAATAAGTTTCATTTAAATACAAAAAACTATTTCAGACCATGCAGTCTATATGTTTCAGACATACACAGAGGGTTTGCACTATTGATTTTATTACAGTATTTATTTTATACTTGTCAGCCACTGAAATGACATGTCCCAGTCTGTACAATCTGCCATCATGGACATGTTCTAACTGTCCAGTTGGTTGGTCATAGGCTAAACTTAATTGAGTTGACATCTCTTTTGGTTTCTCTTTTGGCTAGACTGCTTCTATTTTGGGAAGGAGGTGCAGTAACAGCCCAAACTTTTATTTACAATCACAACTGAGCAACACTTATTTGGTAAATTAGGTATTTTCTACATATTTTTACTTCAATAATGGTCTGTTTTAACTGCTAGTGTTGCGAAAATGCTGATGTTTCTTAGTTTGAAATGATATGGTTATCTAAGCAGGGGGAGGGGGGATTTGGTCCAAAGTCAGTGCTTGAAAACGAACCTGATTATCCAGAGTTTGAGCTTATCTGTGTCCTGTCTGTTCTTTTCAGGAGTTTGATCTCCCTCTGTTGATCCTGGAGGAGATCTTCCTGAATCTGCCTCCTAATCAGGTGGTCAGGGCTTGTCGGTTAGTGTCCCATCAGTGGAAAGAAGTGGTTGATAGTGAGTCCCTGTGGAAAGAGAGATGTAGAAGAGAAGGATTTCACCTCCGTGATACTTACAAAAAACCCAAAGACTGGAAGTTGTTTTACTTCTTGTGCAAGCAGAGAAGAAATCTTCTGAAGAATCCAAGAGGGGAAAGTAAGAAACCTCGTAACTAACCTCACTCAACATCTGATCGATTACTGCTCAATAACAAATTAGCTCTACAAAATAATTGATCTCACAACCCTCCTTTGTTTAACAGATAAGATGAGGAACTGGAAGATACTGGAGAATGGTGGCGACCGTTGGAAAGTAGAGGGATTATTGGTGCCACACCAAAATGAGAAAGTCCAGAAAAACTTTGTTACTTCCTACGGGTGAGTACTCACCAACAGTTGTGGAGAAAACAAACAGTAAATATGACATGATGTTATAATTTCTATTGTGTAGCAGCTGAAACCCTGTCTGTTCATGCAGGATGTGCAGGAAGGAACAGCTGATTGACTTGGAGAAGGAAGGTTACAACGCATCGTTTATGGATCACTTCCAGCCTGACATCAAAATATCTGATTGGTGAGAAGAATACACATTTCATTCTGACACAACTCTAGTCATTCCTACATTTACCATCAGTTACTTCACTTTGTTAAAATCCATATTAGTAACAAAAACATTGAAGTGATAAATCTAAAGTGTTATTTTCTATATTACTTTAATACATTTAACCAGTTCTATGAATGAAATCCAACTTAATGCACACCTGTCAAATGTCAGACTTCCATACATCTACTGTAGATGACAATACAAAGCTCACATAATAGAAATAAGACCTAAGACTTTATACTGCCTTTTTGTGAAGGGGGCTATTGGAACAGCTCATGGTGCTGGAAGTTAAATAAACGTAGCTTCAATTATCAAAACAGATTTGCGTCAAAAACAGAACTGTAATTTCACTGCAAAAAGAATAAGGCTTCTGCTCCTCCTGAGTGGGAAGCTACATCTCTAGTCTGACTTTTAGGAATGTATTTTTTCTTCTTTTTAAACAAAGAACAATGCTGAAAAACTTGTGTTTGGACCTAATTGCTGACTACAGATCTATGTGCACATGCTTTTGCGTCTTTGTTATATTAGGTATGCACCGCGATGGGATTGTGGCAGTCAATATGAGATCTGTGTAGAGTTGCTGAATCACAGCAAGGGGGTTGTCCAGACTTTTGCTCCTGACACCATTACCTTTGAGCAGTGGAACGATCAGAATTGGAATCAGGTATGTGCAAAGTATGAAGCAATAATGAACACCGTGGCATTCAGAGGAGGTGCAAAGCTCAAGGACGATTATTGACTTACTGATTTGTGTTCTTTTCAGCTGACCCATGTATTCCAGAGCTACGGACCAGGAGTGAGATGCATCCGCTTCACCCACGGAGGCAGGGACACACAGTTCTGGGCAGGATGGTACGGGATTCGTGTCACCGACAGCAGCGTCGAGATCTGTCCAGCAGCGGACACGTAGCTCTTAGGGATTCCTCCAATGCCTGCATCCTGCCTTCGCCTATAATTGCACCTTCTTATTGGGATCAAACTAAGTTTCGTTTTCCTTTTATAACCACGTTTGACTTACTAATATGGTATATGTATGTATGTATGTTTTGCTTTGAAATGTAATTTTCAAACCACCCGCAATGCTGCCCCAAATGAAGGAATATGAAGTTAACAGATGTATTTGAAAATGCTATTCTCAATTATGCAGAATTGTGTTTGAAACAATAAAAAAAAAAATATGATCATTATTTTTTTCGTGCTCTGGTTGATCTTTTAAAAAAAATGTGGTTCATTGGAAATTACCCACTTTCCCCCGAAGAGCCTCATGCTCATATCGATGCTGGGAGGCAACATGTTTCCGTAGAAAGTCATTATGAAAACACAGTGCAGTCACATTGAAAACAGTCACACCTAGTTTCAGTTTACATAAATTGAAACTTTGAGTCTGAATTAAATTACTTTATCTATTGCTTTTGGATGCCAACTGGATATGTAATCTGTCAGGACAAGATGCCACATACTGTAACTAGGCAGCCTGAGGAAAGGATAGATTAGCTGCTTCTCAGTTGGTGTGGTTAAAGTGAAGGGATATGAATGCATCAGTGGGAGCAGAATGACTGCTACATAACAAGAACATGTCGAAACGGTTAATCTCAGCTCACAAGGGATATTTTAAATAAATGTAATAACCTGCCTTAACAGAATAACTAATATATGCACTACTCTGTAAATTGAAATGCTGAACATGTTTAATAAAACCTTGTGGAAAATGTATAGAAGTGCGTAACCTTTTATGATGTAAACATGAAGTCGGACAACACGTAATATTTGAAGTTAGGTTTATTCATAATACTGGTTTATTGTGATGCTTAACAAGCAGGATACAGTACAACTTTGATGTCAACTTGATTAAAAACCATAGGGTCAAAGCAACTTGTTCTCTCAACATTTCCCTGGTTGGTTGAATTCAGCGTGATCTCAGCGTATCTGCATCAGTAATGCACACATGTATTCAGTCAATAAGTTATGAGTTACTCTCACTATATTTACAAATCAAATTCAAGCCCATCATAAAGGCATGGTTATAGTAAAAGACAAATGCAAATAGAGCTAGTTCAGTCACTCGAAAATCTTCACAGGGTTTCAAACTATAGCATTTAGTAAGAGCATTCACAATGTGTTACTATCTGACTTCAGCAGCAAGTATGATCAGTTTACAAAATGGTTCATCAGTTTGGGGTTATAGGCTGGATGCTCCGACAAAGTTCAGCCAATGTAACTTCAGATAAACGTTCAAGACATCACCTGGTTAACTCACGTCTGCCACACAAAAATAATGACTGGGAATTATTGTGCTCCAACTTCTTGCATGTTGCATCAAACTTAGAATTAAAACTCCAAACATTTTCCATTGCCGTGTCAGCATTTGCAGAACTCCACCAAGACAAGTGTCAATTTATCAGGTTATGTTTTGGCAAACTAGAGCTATGACGGGAGCATAGCCTAGAAATGTCATAGTGTCAAATATTGATTGGATACGCCTGGAGGCTATGTTGACATTGAGCTGAAATTATGTTGTAAAATAAATAAAAAAGTAAAAATACTGCAACATTTTAACCCTTTGAGAAATGCATAATTCTCAAAGAAATGTTTGAAAAAATAATAAGTTCATGTCAAAGCAGTTTAACAACATGCAGTCTTGTGTGCAAGTGCTGAACATATGGTATACATGATAGTTTAAGGAATTACTTGGAGAACAAAACAGAAGTAGATTATACGAGGATATAATTTGAGCGGCTCACTAACACACCCTCATCAGCTTGTTTCTTGTTTACAGGGCAGTTAATAAAAAACTCTATTAAAATATCTTTTACACTTTTGCAAAATGATCTCTTTACATAATGTGGTCAAAACGTTATTTGGTGATGTCCCCTACAGTTTGTTGATACATATTCACAACGTGTAAGACCACTCCGATGGCATCTAATCATCACAAACAGCATCAAGTGTTACTCGATCTTAAAACCATTATCAACACATTGTATATGTATTTAGGTTAAGTCAGTCAGAAAGCAAATATCTCAGAATATCTTCACTCGTGTTGGAATGTGCAACAAACTTCTTCAGTACTGTTAACCTAGATTTGGAAACTGGTGTGGAGAAGGCTGCGAGGAAACTTAGAGCAGAACACATTTACGTCTTTTCTTAGGTTCAGGGGGCTCCAGGGCAGCCAGTATTGCCTCATCAAACACATTCTTTAATCCTTTCTGTGGAAACAAATATTAATATTCAAAACAGGGCTGTGTTCCAAATACAAATTAATATCTTCAGGGAACTAATTGCAAAAGAAGGCCGAGTAGAAATGGAGCAGGGCGATCAAAATTCTCCTTTATTCAAATAACATTATACATGACTCCTTCATGATCAAGTTGTCTGAGTAAAGACAAAAGCCCAAGTAAGTAAGTAAGTGTTTGCTGCAGTAGGAAAAGGTAATTACTGTCAAAGACAGATTGTGGCATAAATACTTTGTAGGAACCAGCTGATGCTGCTGAGCTCAATAACAGAATGTAAAATCAAACAACAAAAACCAAAGCAGAAACAAGAACTAAAGATTGGCACTCTTTTTGTATCAGGCAGCATGGATAATTGTGATTAGGCCAAGTTGAAAAGAAAGCACAAATGAACAAAAGGAAAAGAGTTAATGGGCACAAAGTTTTAAAAGAGCGTTGTGGAATTTTAAGTGACAGACGTTTCTTTACAATGAGTAAGCAGCAGACGACCGAGAGGCAAAGCAAGATGCAAGAAGACATCAGAACAAACAGCATTTTCTCTTTCTTTGAGTTTCAGGGGGCTCTAAAGCGGCTAGGATAGCCTCATCAAATACGTTCTTCAGTCCCCGCTACAGAAAGAGGAAAAGAAGGGAGAAGACAGGCACACGACACACAGTTAGAAGGAGCTTGTAGACAAATGCTGTTAGCAAAGAACAGGCAACACATTTTCACCCTTGTTAGGAAACTGACGGTCAAGCACATGCTCCGCACAGGGGCGTTGTTTGAGGGGACGTCTTACCTGTGTTAGGGCTGAGCACTCCACGTACTTCACTGCCTTAAGGTCACGAGCCAGCTTTTCTGCTGTCTCGGGGGTGATTGGCTTCTGTTTGTTCTTGGCTAGCTTCTCCACTGTGGAGGGGTCATCACGCAGATCGATCTGAGTGCCTACCAACAGGAACGGGGTCTTGGGACAGTGGTGAGTTATTTCGGGGACCCACTGGAGATTAAAAACACAAAGACAAAACACTTAGTCACCCTGAAGCAAATACACCCGTTTAAAAAAATAAATAAAAAGTCTTGCTTTATAAACATTAATCATGAAAAGACTTAGTTCAGACAGAATACAATTGTTCTAAAAAATGTGTTTGTTGTGGAAGGAGGGAACGGGGCAAAGAGGAAAGGTGAATGTTTCACAGGAATAAACCTTTAGGCGCTTTCCCACCAAGTACTTTGCCGTACTTGGTTCATCAGAACGCTTTAGTATACTTCGTATACTGTCACCCGAAGTCCCCCGGCCGGAAGTTTCTACTGAAGCCTTCCGAGTAAATCGCCAGAACCTCATCATCACTCCACCCATGTTTTTTTTGGGTGTTTCCATAAGTTAGTCTCTCTCCGTTGGTGCGCTGGGCTAATGCTAATGCCAGCAAATATAATGGCGGCTTCACAAAACTTTTCCGGGTTTTTACAGGGCGTGGTTTTCAATTCGCCCAGCCAATCAGAAATGGGAACCTTTTTCTCCCCAGGAAAGTACTATATGGCCTGCGCTCCCAAGATTTTATTCAGATGCTGGTCCCTACAGGAGAACAAAACTGGGTAAAACAGCTTTTAGATATGCTGCCCCCACAGCTTGGAACAATGTAGAGAAGGAGCTGAAACTCTCAGATTTAATCACTATGGGGGAATTCAGGTCCATCTTAAAAGGACAGAGAACACGACACCATTGGTAGATGTGAGTGCTCGTATATCCTAAAATCGTTTTTAAATTTTGCCAGTTTTGAATGATTTTTAATAGTTTGTTTTACTTCGCATATTGACTGGCTATTGTGCCATTTTATTTGTGTTTTACAGCTGCATTTGTCTGCCTGTGTTTTAACTGTTGTAACTTCGTACATGCTGCCTTTCTTGGCCAGGTCACTCTTGGAAAAGAGATTTTAATCTCAATGAGTCTTTTACCTGGTTAAATAAAGGATTAAAAAAAAAAAAAAAATGAACTAAGTACTAGTTCCGGATTTTTTTGGTGTGAACGCAACATTTTAAGAACTATCGGAACTATACTGAGAAAAGTACTGAGGTGTGAAAGCGCCTTTTGTTTTCATGGTGCCACACTTGTTCATCAATTAGGACATACATTATTTTATATTTGTTAGCAGTTATTCATGTTTACATATGCATGCAAGGACTTTAATCATTATTATTTTCATCATTATCAGAAATGATTTCTAAATGCTATATAATAATATCTAATTACCATGACCTGTAATGAATGACTTTCTATTGTCAAAGGGTAATTAATAAAACAGGATCCATAGTTAGCCAGATATTCTCTAAATTGCCTCAGGAAATATATAAACAGTATGCATGCTGAATCATATTCAAATATATATTGTTTGTAAAACATTACCAGGCTAAATATATCTATGGTTATTATAATCAGACCAACTTAGTTATCAGGCTTTTTGAAATACCCTTTACTTTACACTCATGTGCAATTCTCTGTAAACAATGCCTTGCAGTGTCTTATGATGCAGGCAGCACGTTGGAAAACAAACTGAACAGCACAATGTGTTGCATTTAGAGTCAACATCCGTACTCATGTCGTCAACGTAAAACCAAGTGCGTCCGTGTGTCACAGACACACGCTGAGTTTTCACTCAAGTCATTATTCTTCAGTCAATCAAAAGACTATCCCCTGATCACTCAACAACAAAAGAGAAGATTACTATAATACAGAGCATACTGTAAAGGAAGTTCAATTTCAAATATTTGGAAAGAGTAGGATGTTGGTTGATCAACAGGTGATCAACTCAACTGCTTTAAGAGATAACACGTGGTACTCACTTTTTCTTTAACATTCTCAAATGAGGAAGGGGAAACACTGGAGAAACAGACTAAGAAGACATCTGTCTGGGGGTAGCTTAGTGGTCGTAACCGGTCGTAATCCTCCTGACCTATAAAGAGACCAAACTGCAAATTAGCCC